TTAGGAAAACATATACTTTAGACAAATATTTAAAATAATGATAATATTTAGTCTAAATCAACATAGGGCTATTTCTCTGGTTTTTATTAACTATTTATTCTGAGCTGTATTTACTTCACACAAACAGCTAACTCGCTTAGTCCATTTACTATAAAAATTACCACATAGTTTGATCAGGTAATTATTGAAGGTTGCAATTAACCATGAGGTGATTTTTAAAATAAAATAGCAAAAATAAGTACATGAAAACTTACTTGTTTTTCCACTAGGTAGAATACTATCTAAGGCATTGAGCGGGTACCCTGAGCACGTGATGTTACTGTATCTCCAGAATTCCTAAAATAAAAAATAAAATAAATAAAATAAAACACTTGAAAATTTCAAGCTGCTGGTGGTAATAGTAAGAGATGTGAAATAACCTGACTGTAAGCATCACAGTCAAAGCATTAAAATAAGGGTTTTCTACAATATATATTTCGCAAATAGGATGCAAAATTTAAAATAAATCCAAATATGAATGTTCATTTCTTTACTGGCTACTTTATTTAATAAGTTGTTTTAAGCAATTATTAACTACTCTCTCTCTATTTCTTTTATAAATCCATAAAACGACTCCAATTAGAATCATACTTATCGCTAACTAAATAGCGAACAAATGTACCACTCTTATAAAAGGCCGGGCGTGAACTATTGGTTAGCGTGTCAGGCTGTGGATCGGAAGGTTCGTATTACCGCGATGTCGCTGAACAAGTTTTGAACTTTCAGCTGTGAGTGCATTATAACGCTAATGGCCAAACAAGTTATTCGGTTAAAAATTGGACAGAGCCTTTATGGCAGCGGGTATTGCTGACTGGCCGCATTCCCATTGGTCAGTAATTCAAAATTAGGAATTGCAATAACTGAAAATTAGGGTTTTCTGATGTGGCCGTTTAGCTCATGGTCGCTTAAGGTGCCGTTCAGATTGAAAATACCAGTACCATATCATTCTTAAAACATAATAATAGTTGCTTATAGTAGTTGACGTCACAAGTTATAAACAGAGTAAACGCTGATTAATGATTAGGGTATTCTAATTTTTAGGCCTAAAAGCTCATTACTTTGATTACATTAGAATTAAATTACACTGGTCATAAAGAAGTAAATAATACTTGGATTTTTCTAAACTTTAACTATGATAAAACACAACTGTTATTGTTAAACAATGCTAATGACATCTTCGAGTCACGTGGCCTGATGCAGAAGTGAAGAAAACACATTGTGCTATCAGTTTGAAGTCCTAACAACAGCAGTGTATGTAAAGAGATTCAGAAGACTATTGAAAGATGGCAGCACCCTAGATAAATTAGTTTGACATTTCTATAATGTGAAAAGAAACAGTACAGTTGGTCAACAACAACCAGTCATTGTACAGTGGCCACAAGTCTCACAAACTGAGGTAATCAGAATGTGGAATCGCTTTCAGACCACCAATAAAGTTGACCAGAGACTTGGTCAAGGTAAACCGTTGCCAACAACCCAACAAGATGGCCATTATGTAAGAATATGGTTCAACGCAACTAAATGAACAGCGATCGAATGAAAATGGTCAGAAATACGTTTCGTAAGTTTGTCTTTTATGCCAAATTGCTAATTGTGTATGTATTCCTCTAACTCATCCACAAAAATAGCCTGTCTTCAGTAACATCAACGTGGATTGGTCGTACGACATGTGGATGAATGTATTGTTCACAGATACAACGAACCACGCTTCGCAGTTTAGCCAGAGACAAAAGGTATGCGTATTTGGAAAATGGTTGGGACCAGATTCCAACCTCAATTTTGTGAAGGAAAGACACACTTATGTTAGGGATGTGATAAAAATACTCAGTGATTATAGGTCTATTAGTCTTAGATCAGTTGTGTTGTTGTTGTTGTTTTTTGTTCTAGATCAAAGCCACTTTAGGATATCTGTTGTGTCCACCGCGGGGAACCGAACCCTGGGTTTTAGCGTTGTAATTCCCCAGACTTACCGCTTTCCCATCGGGAAACGGATCAGTTATGGAAAAAGTTTTTGAAAGTTTGATCAAAGATGCTTTTCAAAGTCATTTAACAAAATTTAAAACTTTGTTGGATAGTCAATATGGTTTCACCAGGGAAAAATTTTGTCTTTCTAATCTTTTGGCATTTCTTGAAGAGTAGATGAGGGTACGAGAGTGGATCTGATGTAACTGGATTTTCAGAAAGCATTTGACAAAGTGCCACTTTAAACGTTTGTTAAACAATTATTTCTAGTTAATGGGAATGCGTTAGCTCAGTGAATATGGAACGGATGGAATAAAGCAGATGGTTAGTATAAATGGAGTTCAGTCAACTTCAGCAAATGTAACAAGTGAAGTACTCAGGGATGCTAGGATCTTTGCTCTTTTTTGATTCACGTCGATGGCATAGATGAAGGAATGGTCAATAAATTAATTAAATTTGCTGACGATATTAAGGTTTTGGTTGTAGCGAGAAGGATGCTGCTGCGTTAAAAATGATTTAGATTATTTTATTATTTGGGTGAATAAATTGTAGATGACTTTTAATTATAGCAAATGTAAGGTAATGCGTGTGGGATATCATAATTTGAATTATGAGTATAATTTTGATCGGAATAACCGTAACAGTGTTATTAAAGAAAAGGATCTTGGCGTTCCAGTTGATCAGTCTCTTGAGATATCCAATCAATTTGCTATTGCTATTGGCAAGGTAAGGAGGATTTTAGGATGTATCTAGAGATATATTAAATGCAAGTCTAAAGAGGTTATACTTTTACTGTATAGGTCATTGGTTAGCCCATATTTGCAGTTTTGGTCTTCTTACCTTAGAAAGGACATTGAACTATTTGAAAGGGTTCAGATGAGAGCTACCAAGGATGATACCTAGTATGGAAAAGTCGTTATAGGAGGACTGGTTAAGAGGTTATACTTTTACTGTATAGGTCATTGGTTAGCCCATATTTGCAGTTTTGGTCTTCTTACCTTAGAAAGGACATTGAACTATTTGAAAGGGTTCAGATGAGAGCTACCAAGGATGATACCTAGTATGGAAAAGTCGTTATAGGAGGACTGGTTAAGAGGTTATACTTTTACTGTATAGGTC